TTGTCTCCAAGTGACCAAGATTCAAGATCATTATCATTTGAGTCATCATCAATACTTGGAATAAAGTCTGTTTTCATGTTGAACATATTATTTGTGGACTCCTCCTCTAGTATTCTGATGTTGTAGAAAACCCCATTTATTTTGACACAGAGCTTTTTGGAGATAAACTCCATTGAGGGAGTGGATATTAAGAACCTTGCCACATTGAATCTTTGTTTTTTGCTGGTACTATCATCTAGGGTGGTGAATTTTCCACATGTACTACCAATAGTGGAGAAAAAATTGTAGCCCCAAGCGTTTAAGGGGACATCGAGACATTTAATCCAAGTAAACCTTTTGCTAGCCACCATTGTTGAGGACCAAGATTTCTTGAAATCATTACTCAAGCCATTCCAATGCTAACTCGACTAGGTCTTTCAGTTCATCTTTGTCTTCTCCTTCAAAGCACTAATTCCCCTCCCCCCCCCATCATGGCTCTTAATTTGCAGGATAAGTAACCTTCCATAAAAAACTTCTCCTATAAGATTGGAATGATTTCAATCACATAAACTATTTCTACCATCCATCCTTTTAACTAAGCCGAGTCTTCCTTTTTTGTAGTGAACTCTAGTCCAAACCAATCTTGATTCTTCTTAGCCCTCCACTCGCATATTCCAATAGCAGGCTTATTATGATCCTCCTTGAATGGATCCCTTTTGGCTACCATGTCATGATCTGGTTTGCTTCTAACTACATCTGTATAACTTTTCCAAGGTTTCACACCCATACTTGGGCCCCATGATTTATGGCTTCTTCCATTCATCGAGCCATGGTTATTGATATAAGCTAACCTTTTTTGGCCTCAACCAGCACCTAGTTTCTTGTACTTAGGTCAATTAACTCTTAGTGTGTAATTATTGATCCTAATTTGGTTCAACCTTTTTTCCAAGTCTGTTGCGTCATATACATCCAAGAATCTAACAAAGCCGAATTTACTACCACTTTTGTTCTTCCTCAATGGGTTGTATATGGCGTACACCCTCCAAACTTCAAGAAGGTCTTCCACATTTGTTCATAGTTCTAGTCATTCGAGCAGTTTATGAAGTAGAAAGTTGTCACTTGATTGTACACCCTCTAGACTTGGCAAACAAGTCAGATTGGGTGGGTTCGGATTGGGTCATTTCAAATCCCAGGTTGTTCAGATTGGGCCATTTCGGGTGTCGAGTTAAGGAGATTAACCCATGACCCATCCACACGGGTCTCAGATTGGGTCAATGGACCAAACTTTTAAAAAATTAAAATTAAAATTAAAATTTTTGTATATTTTTTCTATTTTTCTTTAACAAAATATAATATTAATTAACTATTTAGTTAAAAAACTTGATTACTAATGAACTATTTAGTTAGAAAACTTTATTAAATGTTAATTTCCATTTCATAATTTAATTTGTTTCCAATCTCAAGAAAAGAAAATGAAAAAATTAGTGATTATATAAGTGGAACTAAAATATATGGCAAATATATAATACCTATACAATATTTAGAATTCATAATTTCATAAAGGTATTAACCTTTATTAAAAGAAAAGACATAAAGGATTAGAGTTTAAAAGACAAATCCAATATATATATATATATATTAATATCTAGTGCCTATTTTATATTTATAAGAGTATTATACAAAAAATATAGTTCTATTGAATATTTAGGAGGGCATTATACAAAAAATATAACCCTATTCAATATTAAAGTTTAAAAGTCAAATCCAAAATATGTTTAACCAAATACAAGAAGAAATTGGATCGGAACTGATTTTTATTAATTATGAACAAATTATTAATTAAAGACAAATTAGCAACTAAGCACAAACCTTGATGTTCTTGATATTCTTGTCTTTGTATTTTTAATGGTTATGAGGGTATCTCAATCACAGGGTTTTGATTTTCAATAAGCATTTCTTGCTTTTTATTTAAAAAAAAAAAAAATCTTTTTTACGATGTTATCTAACATAACTTATTATGTGCTATTAAGGAAACCTCAGATACTGCACCATAAATCATGACTCAATCACACATGATTCTCACGATTATTTTGCCAATCATATATTTTGTAATAGTTAAGATTCTACTCATTATGTATATTTCCTTTTTCACTAGTTCCTTCTATAAGAGTAAATTAGGGTTGCCACAAATCTTGTATATATATATATATACATGTAAAATCAGTTAATATATTTTACAGCTTCTACTCTTAATCTCCTTTTTCACCTCATTAGTGGTATTAGAGCTCTCTCTCAAACGAGCATAACTAATGGCTAGTGAATCCTCTGCAACTATCACCTGTCCTCCTATCTCCACTAATGCCACCATCCCTATTGGACAGAACACTATCATCCTTTTCAATGCTGTTGTTCATTTTCCTCTCAAACTCACTCCTAGCAATTATCCCTCTTGGCAGGCACAATTTCTATCCATCCTCACAGTCTACAAGTTAACCGGGTTTCTTAATGGATCCAAGCCTTGCCCATCAGCACGAATTGGAGAGGTTTCAAACTCACCCTTTAAGCTTTGGATCTGCCAACATCAATCAATCTATCATGCTATCCTTACATCAGTTTTAGAACCAATTGCTCCCTACATATCTACTGTTGAAACTTCACAACAAGCCTGGAAAACTCTAGCCAATCTCTATGCCAATCACTCAAGATCTAGAGTTTTTACACTCAAGGAGAGGCTTCAAAACACTCGCTGTTAAGGCCGCACTGTCTCTGAATTCTTCATCAACTCAAGGTGCTTGCCGATGAACTTGCTAGAATTGACAAACCTCTTACCAACGATGATTTGACGATGTATGTACTTAATGGGATAGGCCCTGAATTTCATGAGATCTCTACTTCGATACGTGCTCGAGATGAGCCACTTTCATTTGAAGAACTTCATGACAGACTAGTTGCCCATGAAGAAAGCATCCACAAACAGGGAAAAAACTCAAATTGAAAATACACTAGTGACTGCCCATTTTGCTGCTATGCTTACAAGGAGACTTGCTGGTAATAATCCTTTGTTTTCTACAAATTTTGGTCTTTCATATGGTTCCTTTCAGTCCAATGGTGCAGGAATTCTATCATTGCCACAAAATATGCAGCCCTTTGGATTAGGCCAACAAATGGTAGGAGGAAGAGGAAATGGGCGCCAAAGACCAAATCAATTCAACAAAAAAAGAGCAGGTCCAAATCGGCCCAACACCAGCAGGCCCATTATATCTTGTCAACTTTGCAACCATTTTGGGCATACTGCTCATACATGCTCATTGTTTCAAAATCAAGGCCAAGGACCCACAACCCACTATGCAGCATCTAACGATCTGAACACTAATGAGTGGGTGATTGATTCAGGTGCTAATAATCATATCACAACTGATCTGTAGAGCTTGGCATTGCATTCAGAATATAATGGCTCTAATACCAGTAATGAGGTGAAGAAGGAGATTAAGAGTAGAAGCTATAATATATATTCACTGATTTCACATGTATATATATACAAGATCTGTAGCAGCCTTAATTTACTTTTATGGAAGGAACTAGTGAAAAAGGAAATATACATAATGAGTAGAATCTTAATTATTACAAAATATATGATTGGCAAAATAATCGTGAGAATCATGTGTGATTGAGCCATGGTTTATGGTGTGGTATCCTTCATCACCAGCCATGCCCCTCTTAAATATATTTTTTCTGATGTTTAGAGTCCTGCACCCACCACGTCTATTGATGGTCACAAGTTTTTTTATTATTTTTGTGGATTTATATAGTCAGTATGTTTGGCTATATCCAATTCAAAAAAAATCAGAGGTCTCAATTATTTTTCCAAAATTCAAGTCTCTTGTTGAAAATCAATTTGGGCATAAAATAATTAATTTTTATTCCGATGGAGGTGGGGAATATGTTGCTCTTTGAAACTACATTCAACAACATGGTATTTCTCATTTCACCACCCCACCTTACACTCCAAAACTAAATGGTATTTGTGAAAGACGAAATAGATCTATTGTTGAAACTGGTCTAGCTTTACTTAACTATAGTTCACTTCGTACTCATTTTTTGTCCCATGCTTTTCAAACTGCCGTATATTTACTCAATTGTTTACGTACTTCTGTTTTGTCTTTCACATCTCCTTTTCAAAAGCTTTTCTCATTTCACCAAATTATTTAAAACTAAAAACCTTTGGGTGTGCTTGTTACCCTTGGATGCGTCCATACACCCAAAATAAACTCCAAGCAAGATCTCATCAACGTATTTTTGTTGGTTACTCTGTTGATCATCTTGGCTATAAGTGTTTTGATCCTCAAACTAATAAAATATTTTTTTCCAAACATGTTACTTTTCATGAAAATCACTTTCCTTTTCAGGCTTCTACAAGACAATCAACTTCTCAAATTCAAAATTTCCCAAATCTCACTAGTATTGAAATCTCTAATATTTCTCCTTCATCTTTGTCTCAACCCTCCATAAACTCAACTTCTCTATTTCCTTCTTCTTCTCCAGCACTAGACACAACTCCATCCTTTGCACCTCTCCCTTCTCCAGCACTAGACACACCTCCATCCTTTGCTCCTCTCCCAGCCTTGCCACCACCGGTGCCTTTTGCCACTACCAACCCACCTCTGTAGGACTTCGTCATCCCAGTCTCGTAGAATGCGTCGCCTCCCATTGCTTGTGGTTCAAATCTGGTTCCTTCTCCCTCCTGCCCAAGTATTTCCAGCTTTTTCCCTACTTCCTCTACTACTGTCGACTCCTCTCCTTTTCCCTCATCCTTGTCACCGGCCTCTATCTCGTCTTCCCCAATCATCAGCTCCCCTTCACCTAGTCTGGATCCAATCCCCTCCCACCTAGCACCGCCCAATACCCATCGAACTCACCCCATGGTTACTCGCTCCCTAAACAACATCTTTAAGCCCAAACAGATGCATCCTGCCACCAAATACCCTTTCCCCACCACTGTCAAGCCCTCATGTGTGAGCCAAGCTTTGAGTCACCCCTAATGGCGAAGGGCTATGTCAGATGAGTTTGATGCTCTTGTTTGACAAGGGACTTGGGATCTGGTTCCAACCTCTCCGAATCAAAATGTAATTGGGTGTAAGTGGGTGTTTCGGTTAAAAAGAGGAAAAAATGGTGAAATTGAGCGCTACAAGGCGCGGCTAGTAGCCAAAGGCTTTCATCAGCAGCCTGGTCATGACAATTCCAACACCTTCAACCCTGTTATCAAACCCACCACCATTCGCACTGTGATTACTATTGCTGTAAGTCAAGCTTGGCCAATTCGGCAACTTGATGTGAATAATGCTTTTCTTCATGGCTCTGTTGAGGAAGATTTATACATGGCTCAACTGACCAGTTTCATTGATCAAACTCTTCCTCATCATGTCTGCAAATTGAAGAAAGCCATCTATGGACTTAAGCAGGCTCCTCGTGCTTGGTATACTGAATTGAAGAAATTCTTGCTTGCTTGTGGATTGGTTAACTCTCGCTCTGATTGTTCCTTATTTATTCATAACAAAGTCGGGATTGTTATCTATGTGTTAGTTTATGTTGATGATATATTGATTACTAGCAACAGTATTGCTTTTATCTCAGATTTAATCAATATGCTAGGGCAAAAATTTTCATTAAAGGACCTTGGTGAACTTAGTCTGTTTTTTGGTGTTGAGGCAATTAAAACTTCTGCTGATTTATTTCTCTCTCAACACAGATATATTAATGATCTAATACAGAAGAGCAAAATGAATGGTGCCAAAACAGTAGCAACACCCATGTCTTCTTCGGGTTTGTCTCCTCAGAATGGTTCTCCAACTCTCTCCGATGCTACCGCTTACAGGAAATTAGTGGGTTCTCTGCAGTACTTGTCCTTCACTCGTCCTAACATTTCATTTGCTGTAAATAAACTATCTCAGTATATGCATTGTCCCACCGAGTTGCACTGGCAAGCAGTCAAACATATTCTACGGTATCTGAAGGGCACCATGTTCCATGGCTTATTGATGCGGTCTAGCTCTAGTCTAGCTCTTCATGCTTTTAGTGATTTTGACTGGGCAGGTGACAAGGACACATTTGTATCTACTACCGGCTATCTTGTCTTTCTTGGTGCCACACGTATGTCTTGGGAGGCTAGAAAACAAAAAGCCATTACTTGAAGCTCTACCGAGGCAGAGTACAGAGCCTTGGCTGCTACTTCTTCTAAGTTAGTTTGGGTACTGCATTTGTTGAGTGAGCTTGATCTTCATTTTGGTACTCCATTCGTTCTTTACTGTGACAATGTTGGTTCTACATACCTCAGCAGTAATCCAGTCATGCATTCTTGTATGAAGCACATAACAATTGATCACCACTTCATTTGTGATTTAGTTGGCAAGAGAATTCTTCGTGTTCCTCATATTGCCTCAGCAGATCAACTTGCTAATGGGTTGACCAAACCATTGTCTTCCTTTCGCTTTGCCTTGCTACGTTCCAAGATTGGTGTCGTTGATGGCTCCACCATCTTGCGGGGGCGTATTAAGGAAACCTTAGATACTGCCCCATAAATCATGGCTCAATCACACATGATTATCACGATTATTTTGCCAATTATATATTTTGTAATAATTAAGATTCTGCTCATTATGTATATTTCCTCTTTCACTAGTTCCTTCCATAAAAGTAAATTAGGGCTGCTACAGATCTTGTATATATATACATGTAAAATCAGTGAATATATATTACAGCTTCTACTCTTAATCTCCTTCTTCACCTCATTATGTGCCACCTAATCTAATTTTTTACACAAGTGCCACCAAAGAGAAGGATTAGAGAGTTTGAGATGAAGAAGGGGAGAGCGAGAGTGGAGAAAAGGAAAAGTTGAGAGAAAGTGAAATTGATGAGAGGTTACAGCTTGAGTATTTTATTTATTTCTACTTTTAAAATTAGGAAATTAGAAATTTAACATTAATTTTTAAGTAATCTAATAACAATGAATAAAAAAAGTTCGGGTCATTTTGGGTGACTCGACCCACACTTGTGACCCAATTCATTTGGGTTCGAATAATTTCAGTTCGGGTTATTTTAGATTTCAAACACATGACTCTACCCATAGCGGATGAGTTGGATTGGATTTTTGGATTGGGTCCAATTTTGCCAGGTCTACCTCCAGTTGAAACCTCCTTACTTCCTTTGAAACTGAAATTCCTTCCTACTGCCTGTTGGTTGTCTACTTTTGGAGTCGTGGCTTTTGAATACGCCTCTTCTCTATGCTTTCCATTTTGTCTTGGATCTATGTCTACCTCCATTCCCCTGTTCTCTTGCACTCCCTTGCACTTTCTCCATTTTTTGAATACTGACACTTAAAAAGCATGTGTTTGCAAGTTTCAGAGTTCGTTAACATGATATGTTGTTATATAATTTACTCTTTTCAATTAAAAATCCACTTGTGATATTGTATGAATTCACTTATTTAATGATATATTACGCTCATTTAATAATATTCATTATTATAAATTTACAATTTTACATGATATTGCAACTCTATATTGTCATCTTCTTTTTACATTATCAAAAAAATTAAAGAATATTTATTTTAAAAAAATGAAAGGAATATATATTCCTCATTCATAGTTCTCAAATTTAGTTTATTTTCATAGAGTATTTAAAAAAAAAAAAGAGAAAAGAAAAAGAAAAAGAAAAAATGAAAAAAGAATACCTTCCGATAACAAGACATCTTTTGTATTGGTGGGGGTTTAAGTTTCACAATTTTAAACCTCTTAAGTTAGATTGATTATTAAATAAATGTGTTTTTTAAATCAAATTTAGGATTTAAATTTTAAAATCAATATCTAAAAAAATTAATTTTTTTGAATATATCATATTAATGTAAAAGATTTGTCCTTAAGATTTCTTGAAGAATGATTAGTCTTAAAGTACTTGAAAATTGACTCAATAACACTCTCATCATTAATTAAACAAAGTTTTTTTTTAAA